TTGGAGCTACCTTCTTCTTCATCGCATTGAAGGTAATTGCTGCGAAGCGCCCATTTTTCGCACGGATCGCTTACGCACATGTCCATAAAAATGGACAGACAGGGAGATACAGATAGAGATAGGAAGTGGACGCCGCCTCGGGGCAGGCTTCTGTGGCGAATGTGGAATGGGGAATGGGGAATGGAGCGTTGAACGTTTAGCGTTTTTCGACCTGTGCAACTAATTACGGGGCGCGTAGCACCCGATTTTAATTATCGCCCTGTGCGCTCGCTCAGCTGTTGCCTTTGCCGCATTCTGGGGCCGGGTCTGTCAGTCAGTTAGTCAGTCGCCAGTCGGCAGTCGGTAGTCTGTAGTCCATAGAACGTAGTCCATAGAACGTAGTCCGTAGTCCGTAGTCGGTCCCATCCCGTCCTGTTCCGAGCATAGGCACGCCCTGAGCGACAGTTACAAACAGCCAAGCGGTGATGGGCCATGGATGGGCTATGGCGATGGCGGCAATCGATTGATTGTGGCCAAACACGCAGCACTGGAGTTGGACAGGATAAATCAAGCCCCTGACATTTTCCCTGCCTTCTGCTGGCGTGCGTGAGTTTCGTTAATGCACAAACGGAACACAAACAGAGGAGCCACACAGAAGCAGAGCCAGAACCAGAACCAGAAACAGAACAGAACAGAACAGGCAACAGGGCCCCCATTCATACAATACGAATATATATAGTATAAAAGCCGATATCCAATTCCCGAAACTCGAACGACGCGTAATGGACTGAAATCCAATACAGAAATATGTATGAGACAGGAGTGGGGAGACTGGAGACTGGAGAAGAGCAGAGTAGCAAGGATACCCGTCCGCACATATGGAGAAGATATGGTATGGTATGGCATGGATTGAGAGACAGACACAGTCCCCCACACAGATGTCAGGGAAATATGCGCCGTTTAGTCACAACTGTCAGTTTTCAATTGATTTGTCGAGCCAGTGGCAGGGGAAAGGCTCTCAGAGCCTGGGGGATTGACTGGGTGGCTCTGAATTTCGCTTCCATCAAAGCCAACAAAGCAAATGTGAAAACATTAAAGCCATTTTTGGCCACGCTTTCGTGTGCATATATCTATATATGTAGATATGTCCATATAGTATATTCGTGCAGTGCCGGACAGAGGAAGACAGTGGCGACTAGCCCTAAATGTTGGACATCTTCATTTGACGGACACAACAACTTATTTGAAGCCAATATCCTGTGAAAGTTGTTTGGGAGGAAAGTAATTTGGCTTCAGTGCTAATCATTGAATATTTTTACAAGATAACAAATATCTTTCAGATGGGTCATTTTTGGTTCTATTTATTTATTTATAAAATGGTAGCCCAAGATTTATCCTACAGCACAAAGCAACAAGGCCTTCAGGTCTATGCTGGGAATATATATATAAAAAAAAAATGTATTTTTTTGTTCTAAGAAATGCAAATATGTCTTGTGGATATTACTTAACAATTTGAGGGGTATTTTTCAAGGATATTCTTCTTGGTTATAGTAGGGCCCGCCATTAAACTGTGTTCAATTCCTTGACGATGCCTTAGGCATCCAATATTCGCGTGTGTATGGGAATTATGGCTAACGATAGTTGGTTTCCCCCATTTCGCTGGCAGTTTCCATTTCAGTTGGCCCATGCGCTGTTCCGGTTGGCCGCCAAAACGCCAAAAACTTCAACTTTTGGCCAGTCATGTCATGGAGCAGAGTAGAGTAGAGTAGAGCAGAGCAGTCCATTCTTGTATCGTCATTGTTAACATCATCAATTTGTGTGCTTAATATGGAAACTGACGCACAACAATAGCAGACAGGCGGCAGGAGGCAGGAGAAGAATAGAGCTGGCTGGCTGGCAGGACAGCCTGGAGGTGGAAACAGGATCAAGGAACGAAAAGACTAGGACTAGGACTAGGACCAGGCCAGCCATATAAATTGAGTTGCTGCAGCAATAAAGCATCTCGAATTGTTTATTACATTTTTGCCACACTTGACGAGAGCACGAAGGGCAGGAGCTATGAGGCAGGAGGCAGGAGGTTGGACGTATATGGAGCACCAGGCGATAAATACGAAAAGTCATAATACATATATACTCATACTCATAGGAAAAGTGGCTGGGGGGGTGGAAAGGGGAGGTTGGGGAAGATGAAACGGAAAGCCCTGGGCCAGAAATCAAAACAATTGCAGCTCAATTCAATTGCTTGGCATCTCTCAATTCTGTGGATAAGAATGGAGAGGCTATATACAGGGGACACATACATATATAGAACGGGGGGACAGCGGACAGGCCGTGGCAGTGGCATGGCGGCCACTTACCGTACGAGGCGAAAAGTTCATGAGGTTATGATTTGAGGCAACCCATCGGGCGACCCCGGACCCCGGCCCCGGCCCCGGAACCCAGACCCCAGACCAGACCCGACCCCAGAGCAAACAGTTACGATTGTGTTACAATTTGTTACATCTGTAAATGTGTGCGCGGAGCTGAAAGCGCGCTGAAAGCTCTCGAGGGACTTTTTAGCCAATATAAATTTTGATCCTTCTTGAAAAATGGAAGCAAACATAAATAGCATCAAGTGGAAAACTGAACGTTAACGAACGTGCCGCTGGGTGGGGATGGGATGGGATGGGACGGTATGGGACTACGATGTGTTGTGGCAGTGGCATCAGCAGGGGGTTGGGTTGGGTTCGGTTCGGTTCGGTTTGGTTCTGATGGGTGCAGAGGGTGACAGCGGCTGTGGCACATCGACGACATAAATGAGTGGCGGGCTGAGCGCACATTTAGCAGCAAACAAACAGATTCTCCCCCACATCTCCACCCACAACCAGACACACACACACACAAACACACACACAGACACACGAACAGTAGCATAGACTGACAAACACGCACTGTGAAGGACACACAATGTTGGGGAGCTGCTCCACATGTGTCTATGTGTCTATGTGTGTGTGTTTGTAATAAAAGCGATGAAAATGGCAACAGCAACAAACAGGAGAAACAGCAACAGCAATGACAGCAGAAAGGAAAACGAAATGGCAAAATAAATTGAAAGAGAAACAAATAAAAATCAACGAGAAAGGCTGCAAAAGTGGCGGAAAAAAAGGAAGCAACACAGAGAGAGTCAGAAAGCAGAATGAACCAACGAGCAGGAGCTGGAGAAGAACCAGAAGCCCAAGAAGTAGAAAAACAACAAGAATTATGGGATAGCTTCATGGCCGAAGCAATAGATATCCTTGAAGGTCGAGCGCTCATCACCAGATTGCTTTTCGATCAATCATAGAAACGATAACTATATAATATAGTTGGTCTAGAAGCAAAAATAAGACTGCAGTTTCTTAGATTTGTCTTAATTACATTCTAAAATTATACAAGTTTTTCCTACAACGTCTAGCAGGCCTAACGATATGATATTCCAAACGAAACGTTTCGTTTATAGAGTAGAATATGCTACAGTTTGTGCATGACAAACAGCTACTGGAAAATCGTATTACCCTCCGAAAAGAGTACAAAAGAAGCAGCAGCAGTAATAGCAACAGCAAGCAAATATTGAACGAAAAGGCAAAATACCAACAAGAACAACAATCAAACACACACGCACTCACACAGTTAAAGAAAATAATCGTCGATAAAAAGCTGGCGCCAAGATACCCGTAATATGAGCTAACCACTGCCCCCAGCAACCGATTCTGATGCCATTCCACATCTTCCACCGACACACATATTCCCCATCCATTCAGTGGACCATCACCATCACCATCCCAATCCCTGGCCACTCTCCGATGGCAAGTGGCTTCGCACATCACAGCGCATTATTGGGTGACATGTGAAAGAGCTCCGCTCTTAGGCCTGAAGCTGCTTGCTGCTTGAGAACGGCTTTGAGCCTTAGCCCACTTGAGTTGGTGTTTTACAAGATACAATTCCACTAATTCCAAACAAAAAGTTAGTCCAGCGTGGCACTTGAAAAGCTCTCTGGCAGGACTTATTTCGCCCCAGCAAGGTCACTTTCGTTTCACTTAAAGTGCTCTAATTTACAAATTAAACACGATTTTCTGGAGTGTTTCAAGGGGGGATGGGAGCTTGAATTTCAATTTAAATTTAAATCGCTTGCTGGTATTTCAATGGGGAGCCCGAAAGTATGCAATGCTTTCTCGACAAGATCAGTTCCGTGAACTAGTAGGAACCGAACCAAGTATTAATAGCACATAAAACAAACAAATCATTGAATATGCTGCGGGGTGAGGTCGGGTCAGGTCGGGTCGGGTCGGGGAAAGTTTTATGTCGAATCACCTAAAATGACTTTACTTTCTGCTTAATTCGCATTCAAAATGCGAAAAATTTAAGCCCCAAAAATGTGAACTATAAGCTGACGTCACGCTCTCGTTCGCACAGCTCCCAATGGCTTAAAATTTATGACATAAATAAAAATACGGGAATAAGGATGGGTCTGCCGCAGCCAGGATACCCAAAAGCCATCCATCCCGAGCCAACACCCAACCCTCCGGGCCACTCCACCTCCACCTCCAGCTCCGGCAACCCAACCACTCCAAATTACACGAAACGTTTTCGGTTCTTTCCTTGGTTACGATTCGATTGGTCACCTTTGATGAAGAGAGAAAGGGAGAAGGGGAGAGAGAGCTAGAAACGAAAACACAAATAAATTAATATTTGGCTTAGTGAAATTGAATTTGGTTTGGTTCGATGTGCCTGCCATGTCTGGCATTTGGCGATAAACGCATTCGCTTTCGCTTTCAGGTAAATTGCTCGTAAGCCACATCAGCATAAACCGAAAAAACTAAATATTTATGGACGAACGAAAGACCACGCCCGGACAAATTCAAACGCCAACGGTCAAGCGGCAGCGACGCATCTGACAGCCCTAGTCCGTCGCTGACTTAGCAACCCTGCTCGAACAGCTGGTACTTGCCTGTTGCATCTTTTTTTGTTTATTTGTTCTATTTCGCGGCTGTGTACTTTTATACTAATTTGAATTTTAAGCCACCGGTGAACCAATATCCACTTAAAAGAACCTTCCACACGTGAAGTGCAAAGATGAGCGGCGCACTGAAAGCCAAAGAACAACTGATACGCGCTGTGGAATGCGATCAGATCGGACGAATACTGGAGGCGCAGACGCTTTACCAAGATGGCATCACGCAGCTCATGTCGTTCGTGGAGACTGAACCAGATGAGAATAAGCGCAAGGCGTTCGTGCTCCGCATCAAGGAGTATATAGATCGGGCGGACGCCATCAAGGCCCGCGTCAATGGCAAGCTCATGCTGGGCCAGGTGGTGGACCACATATCGATAGAGGAGAACGACACGGGATATGACTACGATCAGATCTTTGGCAAATACATGGACGACAAGACCGTTGAGATCCTGCTCGAGGAGCCCTACATGACGCAAAACTATCAGGTAACCAAACTAATCACCAAGGGAGGACAGAAATTAATTCGATTGATCTTTGACAGTATCAAAACCTCATACGCTTCCTGGAGCTGGCCATCACAAACTGCAAAAACTTGAAGTATTTCCGTTTGATTACCAAAGAGTACTCGGATCCAAAGAATCCCGATCAGCAAAAGACTAACCTGGGACAGATAAGAGCCGACCTGGAGCGAAGGTACATCGTTGTCTCCATAAAATATGAAGACACGTTGCACGATCGAAGAATTTAGTAAGTAACGGAGACCGATACGAGTCCCTTGCGTCATCAATATATTGCAGCTATCTAATCTTTCTATTAATAATATTTTTCCTGTGCTTACAGTCTGAGCAACGGCTATATAATTAAAATCGGACGCGGATTGCACTTTTACAAGGCGGCCAATCCCATGTATTCCATTGGCCTGGTCAACTACAAGTACCGCAAGTGCCTCCAAACAGATGTGGACGTATGGCGCAACAATAGCACAGCATCCTAGGGAATGTCATTCCATTTTAAAAGACAAAGACAAGACAGATTTTTCATACAACACTTAATTTTGATAAATATATCTTTCAATTTTTTGCGAACTGCGCCTTCAATGTGGAGTACAGAAGGAGGATTCACCGACAATTGGTGATTCTGGGTACGCTATAAATCTGCAGTCGCCACGAAGACACGGAGCTGATATATGGATGTGGCTGCTGCTGCTGCAGGGGCGTTCTCCTCTGCACCGTTCGGCTCCTGGTTTCAGTTCCTTGGCAGAAAATGTTTAAAATTCATAACTTTCACGCCACTTTCGGATATGGAGGCAGCAGCGGCACAGCTGGTGGGCAGAGTTGGCTGCTGTTTTGAATGCCAGTGCCGCTCCGGCAGCCAGCGGGTGGCCAATGCAGTTGCATAAAAGGCAAAAGCAGCAGCAGAAACGGAAGCGCTACCGTTACCAGCTTCATTTACAGCTCCAGCTCTTTGTCCTTGCCATGTCCTTAAGGTTCGCTTAAAGCCCATACTCTGATTCGGTCTGAGGCTCAACGGCGGCCGATGCGATGGTTGCCAGAGACATGTGCGTGGATAATTAGAACTGCGACACAGTTCGCTGCACATCCAACACCAGAGTCCACCTTTGGAGGGTGGTGGTGGAGATGTGGGATTGGTATCGGATTGGGTCTAGAAATGGGACGAGGTCCTAGGGCGGGGGTATATTTTCAATTTACTTGGTGCCAGGCCAAGGATTTATCAACAGATGAAGGCAATTGTTACGCAAAGGCACAAAATGCGCCGCGATGAGCCGGCCTAATAAATTGCACCAGAGCTAAAATGCTTTGCTCGCTTTTAAATTTTATGGCCCGTAAGAAGGCCCAGACACACTCGCTCCCCACTCACCCACACACCGAAACACACTCCTTGGAACCACCCCTAATTTTGGGTTTAAGCACCACTGGAGGATGGAGCCTGCGGCTGCTGCTGGCAGTAGGACTGGGGCTGTGGCTGTCGCTGGGGCTTGGGCTTGGGCTGGGGCTGGGGTGAGGTGCAGATTCCATTTGCCTAAGCTGGCTATTCATTCCCTGGATATTCTAAACAAGCAACAAGAATTGTGGGTCTTCGTGTCCCCAGGATTCGCAGGGCCTTCCGCCTTCTCCTTGAGAGCCGGGGGCCAACGATGAACTTATTGAACAATTAGATGGTTCACTTATTTTAGATAAATCTATGAACTAGATGGATCCCTAGTCCCTGCCACTGAGCCTCCCTCCAAGCGTGCTCCTTGTGCGCTACGGAAGCTGGAACAGGATATTTTTCGCTAGCAAATAAGCCACTAACTGACTGAACAACAGGGGAATCCTCCTACGCAACCTGGAATCCTGCCATCCTCCCCAGCAAGCAACAGTTATTCAGGGAGAACTGCAGAATAGAAGCCGCCGGCTCTCCCTGCCAATTTGTGAGCAATGAATGCTGCAGTTAAGCGCCAGGAAAGGCCAGGAAAACTACAATACATAACCATGGAATTAGTTATAGTCCTGGTCCTGGTCCTGGTCCTGCTTCTGGTCTTCATCTTGGTCACAAAGGGAACAAGAGCCACCCTCCCCCGTTTGGAGGAAGAGGAAGCCGGGCAGACACTGCCCGGGGCAGACCAACAGCATAACTAATCCGAATATTTTACCCCCGCCCCGGAAAATGGCAAATCCTCAAGATACGAGTAGAAGCCAAAGTGGAAGCAACATTTTGTACCTCGTAGGTCCTGGAGTACCAGGGGTATGTTCTAGAAAGGGGTACCAGGGGTATTTTCTATCCACCCAGCTAGTTGGCAGAAAGAAAACTCGGTAGAGTTATGTATTTATCCCGATATAGAAAAAATACCCGTTTTAAGTACACTCCATGAGAGGTATTAACAGAATATCTTCATGAGATAAACTACACAGCGGGTATCTTTTGGTCGAATCTCTGCGCTGTATCACTGTATTTCTTGCCTATTGCTAGGATGCTGAGTGGGTGGGGATGGGGACCCGCGTTAAGCGGAATGTTTTAGGTTCAGCGCAGCACTTATGACATTACATTTTACGAGCACATGTGTGTGTGTGTGGTGTGTGTGTGTATTCGCTATTAATTTGCCATAGCTGAGGAGCTGAGTCCTGAGTCCTGAGCTGCGTGCGTGTATATCCTCGTAGACCTCTACATTTCCCATCATCAGGATTGTCCTGGCCGGGAAAGCGCCACGTAATTGTCTCTGTTTGCGGATCCTGCTTCGCTTTCGCTTGCTTAAAATTATCATAGAGCCAAGGGGACGGGCTGGATAAGAGAAACTACGAATTGGATTGTGTACACATCTACTTATGCCGATTTCCTATTACTCGTAGATGCGTAACGTAACTTTTAGACCAGGCAAAGGACCAACGCAACCAAAAAAAAAGGGTGGCGTCAACGATTCTTTCTCAGTTTTATTGCTGCCAACAACATCAACAACAAGACAAACTGGCAAATGTCCCACTTGTTACCAGAACGCCCCCAACCCAAAAACAATGTGGCATTGTGGCACTCTGTGTGGGAGTGTGGGAGTGGGGAATGTGAGAGGAAGACATAGGCGATAGATAGGGAAAATCGGGCCATAACTTTTGTTTTGCTACGTACATAAAATGGCGCCAAGCAACCTATATAGGCCAGACATCCAAAAAGGAGCACCCGAGCGCAGAGGACAGGAGCGGAAGCGGGAGCAGGAGCAGGAGCAGGAGTAGGAGTGGACATAAAGTCAAGTGAAACTACTGGCAATAGCAATTGAAATCAAAAACGTGCCATCAACTGGGGGCTTCATTGCTGTTGTTGTTTTTGTTTTTGTTGTTGAAAGCCTCCTACGTTCCGCTCCACTCCCACTCCCACTCCCAATCCCACTCCTGCATCCCACATCTAGGAGGCGATGGCCATTATGTAAATTGCGTGTACGGCAGTCAATGAAGGTCTGAGGATGGAATAGATAGAGACTGCGGCTGACCAAAAACCGCATCATTAACGCCCTGGACCAGCATCAGCATCAGCATCAGCACCAGCATCAGAAACGGACTGGATTGGACTTCTCTCTCGAATGACAACTGGCTAAGGTCTCAGGCTCACAGGCTTTCAGGGTCTCTGGCTCAATGTGTGTGTCCGAAATATGAACTAAAGTGATTTTCAAATATGCTCGAGTCCCAGGCACTTTAGCAGTCCTATATCATTGTTGTTGGTGGTGTGGCGTGGTGATGTTTCCGTCGCCTCGTGCTAGATTAAAAGCTGTCACAGACCAAACAAAGGCAACCGCAGAAGCAGCAGCAGCAGCAGCAGGAGAGGCAGAAGCAGCACAAGAACCACACCACACAAAGGATAAGCAGAGCAGTTATTGTGTTCTCTTTGGATTTGCAATGTATGCCGATTTATAATCAATCAATGTCAGCGCAAAATTCGAAGCGGGATGCGGAATTCGAAGCGCCACACCAAGCGCCGCACTCTCTATCTGTCACGCTCCCGCTCACTCCCTGGGGCGGCGGCAACGTGGAACGTATGCCCAAAAAACCGTTCATTAGGCCCCTCAGACGTCACGGCACGACAATGCATAGAGAAAGAGAGAGGGCGAGAGAGGGAAGGGGACGCCCAGAGGCGCGTTATTTATAGTGCGTGTCCTATTAATGCATAATCGACGTCAATCTTGGCATATTAAAGGACTAACGCGGCCTAAGTCGTCGCTTCTACTGCCATCCATCCCATCCCCCCATCCCCCCCAACCACCTCCTCAGGCTCGTCCGCTTTAGCCTCATCCTCCCTTTTTTTTCCACCAGATTTTAAACCAAAGATGGATAGACAGAGATATTTTTTGGCTACTGGTTGCCTTGCCGGGCAAATCCTTTTTGCCATGGCTCGCTTTGGTTAATAGACCCCGAGCTGCGTGTCAAATTGCCGGCGAATTGATGAACTTGGCAGAAAAAGGAAAGGTCCTCTTCCTCTCCACCCACAAAATGCATTAGCGAAAAAGATAAGAGAAGAGCCATATTTATAAAAATGATAAGAAATGGTTAAACAAATGTCTTTAAATTTGATTAAACATAATATTTATGGTCGATTAATGTCGATTCTATGTAAAATATGATCTTAAGGTATATTACCCCTACACATCTATTCGAAAGCTGATCAGAATTCCCTTCTTTCCGGGTTCTCGAACTTTACTTTACAATAGCTAAAAAAACAGATACAAATCAATGGATCTGATATAAATTCTGTTATATAAAGTGGGCCCGAAGAAAACAGGGATTTAGTGGAAAATACTTCTTCCACTTCTTCAAAGATTTTTGTAGTTTTTGTGAATTCTTTAGCTTAAATTAGAATTTATCTTTCCAAAATTTGTATGTGTTCTATTCCTAAGACTAATGTTTGTTATCTCTGCAGGTATTTTGCTTGAGTGATAACTTTAAGGGTTATACATAAAACTAAATAACAAGATATTTTGCATAATTAAGGATATATTAATAATACAACCCGCTTTTATAGCAGAATAAACCTTAAAGCTGCGGCTACCGTTACCACTTCCCACAACATGGTTTACCAGTTCCATCGAAATCTAAGGAGCTTCCCAGCTTCTCCAGTCGGGAGCTGCCTGGCATCCCTGGAGGGGCAAATATTCACCCTGGGGTCAATTGTTTCACTTATTTAGCAGGCTTTAAAATGTCCCCACAAATCCCCGCCTCGACCAGTCCGGATGTTTAATGACCAAAAGACATTCTCTGACAGCGTTGACAACTCTCTGAGAGATATACATTAACGGGGAGGGTGGGGGTGGTGAGAGTCTGAGAGCATTAGAGAAAGTAAATCGGGGGCATAAAGAGCCGCGCTGTAATTTGAGTAATTAAAATTTGACACGATAATCGAATCGCTGGCTGTGTGGATATGGTGGGGGTAGGCGGCACGGGGGTACGGGGCTACGGGGGTACGGAGGCAGGTGGATCTCGCTGGGCACGAAATCATCGCCAGCCTTTCAGCCCTTTCGCTCGGCTTACAACTTGAGCGGCGCATTAATGCAGAGCACTTTATGTGTATATAATTCCGGGCATATCTGTATATACCCGTATAGCCGTGT